TATATGGAAAATACACTGTATTATAATAAAATTAAAACTTAAATTTGCTCATATTTCAAAAATATTTATAATCAAATATGCAATAATAATGGTGGTCAAGGTTTGCCTTGATTTGCAAGGTGAGAGGGTTCTGGTCAAGGTGACAGGCGAGGGTCTCACCTTGACATAGACAGGTCAAGGTGAAAGCAAATGTAATTACCGTATTTCAATTTTAAGTATTTATTGTAATGAACACACTATTTAAAATCCAGAATAATATTTATTGTCTATTTGTATAATAGCAAAACAAATTATTTATTAAAACCCCTTCATAAGAAAGACTTTTGTCTTCAAAAAGCCCTTATCTTATATGGAAAATACACTGTATTATAATAAAATTAAAACTTAAATTTGCTCATATTTCAAAAATATTTATAATCAAATATGCAATAATAATGGTGGTCAAGGTTTGGTCAAGGTGAATTTAGAAAATTTTTGTATTTTTCAAGGCTGTAGTCGATCAGAGTTGGCACCCCTACGCCAAACACACCAACAGTTCAGGTCTCACACAAAGTACGTCCACTTTTTGTGGATAAACTAGTGTACACTAGTTTACCAGTTTTAACTAGTAAATTGAATTTTGGGTGATTGAATGTAAATATTATCACATGTTTTGCATTGAATAACAAAAACACAATTATTTATTCATCACTTCATTTGATCCCAAGATATGGCGCAAAATATGCAACACTTGAAGACATCACTCGAGACCACAGATGACTGTAAATGGAAAGACAGACAACAGGTTTTGACAATTATTTCAATGTTTATTGAGTTTTATTGCTTTTTGTCTATCATTTTAATCACTCATATATGCGAAGAACTCAATGGACAGATTCGGCGACAATTTGTGTTTACATCTATTATCTTATCTCTCACTCGAAGATCGGTTTCGATTGGAATGTATGTCCAAACAGTTCCAGAGGACTGTCTTCGAGAGTGTTGTTAACATTAATATTGACGACCGATATATTGATTTAATCGCATTGAATGAGAAGACAATTAACACCCAATTGTTGGCCACAATTGCCATAAAGTGTTCAAACATTGAGACCATTGACTGTCGAGGAGTGACCAACAAATATGAGAAACACATTCCCGAAGTGTTGAACGCATTGCGAGACAATTGCCGACATTTGAGGGAAATTTATTGCAATTTATGGCAAAACAGCTCACAATCTATCGGTGCGTTCGCACCACTGGTCACAAGAATCGGTGACATCTTCTCCTTTAGGGAAACCCAAGCACTCACTCAATGCCGCCGTTTATCTCAAGTTAGAGTCAAATTCTTGGACGAAGTGTTTGACTACCCGTCCGGACCACTGCTGGCCAAGAATTTGCATAAAATTGAGTTATTATACCATTCAGACCATAATAACCATCGATTGTCTGCATTCGTGGCCGAGAATCAGTCCTTAAGAAGTCTATACGTGTTGTGTATTAGTTGTCAAACTCTCGGGACTCTGACCGAAATGTGCGGACAATTGTCACGATTAACACAATTACGGGAATTAAGACTCGGTATTGAGATAACGGTCGCTCAGAACTCATTGGCCGACTCTTTGCGAACAATTGGCGTGAATTGCAAACAATTGAAACGATTGTCACTCGAGTTGTTCTCACATACAAATGAAGTCAATGTCCAGACTTTGGATTCGCTGAGATATTATTGCCGATTAAAACGTTTGGATTTAACAATACGTGTTCCCATCGGTGACCAATTGTTGGATCCGTTGATATACTGCAAGAGATTAACGCATTTAGAGCTGTATTTAACGCGAATGACAACAAAATTGTTAGAAAATTGTCTTAAAAATTGTTCAAAACTTCAATACCTATCCATTTATGACAATAAAGACATTATAGACACCGAGTGTTTGTCACACCTCTCAAGACTACCGGCGCTGCAAACACTTGTACTTCACTCGAGTAATGACTTTATTCTCGAAGGCATTGATTTCTCTCATCTATTGTCCAGAAATCCTAAACTTAAAGACATTGAAATTCGTGCAAAGAATGGCTCAAAGTTTTATTCAAAGTAAAATGTTTTGAATATTTAGTGATTTATAAATGCAATTAATTTATGTTAAATAATGTTTAAACTGTTCATTCGTTTGTGTTTTATGACCACAATATTTTGTATGAATTGATGTTTGATTTTTATGTAATAATACATTGTTTTTATAAAACATTGATATTTTTAATAATTGTAATTTTGAAAACTAAATCTGGATTTAAAATCAATTAAATTACAAACAATTTTCAGTGAAATTGTGGGCAAAATGTTTTGACACAATCTTATACTTTATGCACAATCGTATTGAATGGTGTGCTTTGTATGGCTATAAAGACGTAGTTTTGGTGCTTTTATATATGAATATAATATATTGTATTAAAGCATAAATAGTACCAAAACTTAGGGTTATTTTGGATGCCTTTAGGTGTAAATATTATGTAATTTTTATATCCATTTGTTTACTAATTGTTAGAAATATTATCACATTTTTTACATTAAATTTCTATTTTATAACAAATACTTCATTTGATCCCAAGATATGACACAACAGATGAAACACAAGAAGATATTAACGATAACTATAGATGACAGCGAAGATGAGGGCGAAGACAATGTCAGGCAACAGGTATTTGACAAACAATTGACTGTTTATTGAGTTTTCATTGTTTTTGTTTAACATTTTAGACACAAATGTATGCGAAGAACTCAATGGATAGGTTCGGTGATGATTTGTGTCAACTATTGTTGTCTTATCTCTTACTCGAAGACCGATTTCGTTGCGAATGTGTGTCCAAACAGATCCAGAGGACAGTCTTCGAGAGTGTTGTCGATATCACTCTTAACGAGAAACTCATCCGTAAAGCAAAACAACAAAAGGAAACCTTAAGCCAAGTGTTGGCCACAATTGCCATAAAGTGTGCAAACATTCAAACCATTGACTGCCGAGGAATAACTTCCAGATGCAGAATAAATATTACGGAAGTGTTGAACACATTTCGAAACAATTGCCGGCATTTAAGGGAAATTCACTGCAATTTATTGCCGGATAGCAACCAATTGTTCCCTATATTCGGACATTTGGTCACAAGAATCTATTGCATGTCTTCACTCGTAAAGCATTCACTCAGTTATTGCCATCGATTGTCTCAATTACGAGCCGAACAATTGTCTGATGTCTTTGACAACACTTCTGGACTACTATTAGTGAAAAATTTAAAGCGATTCACAATTATTTACAATTCAATTGAAAATAAGGAACTGTTATCTGAATTCGTGGCACAGAATCAGTCCCTTAAAAGTGTTGTCGTCATAAAGACTTCACAAAATGTAACTTTGCCTGAAATATACGGACAATTGTCACGATTACCGCAATTACGGGATTTGACACTCCATTTACATAATTTACGTAATATCCTATTGAACGATATTTTGCGTACAATTGGCTTAAACTGCAAACAATTGCAACGATTGGCACTAATCTTACGCACAACTAATTCCAAACTCAATGGCCAGACATTGGACTCATTGAGACTTTGTTGCCGATTAAAACGTTTGCATTTGGCTATTAATCACTCTGCCGTCGATCAGCAATTGTTGGAACCGTTGAAACTCTGCCACCGATTAACGCATTTAACACTAGATTTAATGAAAATGAGTGACAAATTACTGGATAATTGTGACAAACATTGGCCGCGACTTCAATACCTATGCATCAGCGCTAATGCAATCACTCGCGAGTGTTTGTCTCACATCTCAGGACTACCGGCGCTGCAAACGCTTGTCATTGAATTCAATGAAACCAATGATCTCTCGGACAATGATTTCTCTGATCTGTTGTCGAGAAGTTCTAATCTCAAGAACATTGAAGTGATCGAAGAGGAAGTCTCAAAGTTTTATTGCCGTAAAAATGGGGTAAATATTTAAATAATTTCTTAATACAAGTGAATATTAATTGTTTTTTCTCACATTTTAGCGGCGAATTTATCCCAAGAACTCAATGGACAGATTCAGCAATAATTTGTGTGCACTTCTATTATCTTATCTCTCACTTAAAGAGCGATTTCTGTTTCAATGTGTGTCCAAACAGTTCCTGAGGACAGTCTTCAGAAGTGTTGTCGACATTGATATGGAAGATATCGAACTCATTAGAGTAAATAATTCAAAGACTCCTAAGACTACTATCTTTAAAATAATGAACATAATATGCGAAAAGTGTCCAAACATTGAAAGCATTGACTTTCGAAGTGTTGGATTCAGTGATCAACACATTCTCGAATTGTTTCCCACAATTAGACATAAATTCCCGAATTTGCGGGAAATATACTGCGAATTGTTGTCAAACAGCGACCGATGGATACAACTGTTGGCACCACTTATCACAACAATCAGCGGTGAATTGTCCTCAAAGAAGCCATCACTCATTTATTGCCGCCGATTGTCTCGTTTGGTTGCGTATCACATGTCGGATGTGTTCAGCGGCAGAACCACCGGATTCTGGCCCGTAATTTCATTGGCCAATAATTTACACACATTTTCACTATTAAATTATTCGACTGATAATAAGGAACTGATGTCTGTATTTGTGGCACAGAATCAGTCCCTCAAATGTCTTAATCTATTCTACATTACATATAAGACTGAAGAAGATCTGCGAGAACTGTTCCAACAATTGTCACGATTAACACAATTGCGGGAATTAAGTCTCAAATTAGTGTTAATCAATGGCCAGAACTCATTGTATGAGTCGTTGCGTACAATTGGCTTAAACTGCAAACAATTAAAGCGATTGACGGTTGAAGTGATTATAAATAATTCCCAATTCAATGTCCGGACATTGGGTTCATTGAGACTTTGCCATCGATTAACGCATTTAACACTTGGTTTTCATCCGATATACGAAAAAGTATCCGATTATCAGATGTTATCTAATTGTGACAAACATTGGCCACGACTTCATTACCTAAACATCAAAACCAATACCATTTCAAACGAGTGTTTGCATCGCATGTCAAGATTACCGGCGCTGAAAACGCTTGTCATTGAGAATGAGTTAAGCGATGGTCTGAGAGATAATGATTTGATAGTTTTATTGTCTTCGAGTCCTAAACTCAAGACATTTGAAATCCGTGTAAACAATGAGAAGAAGTTTTATTCAAAAGTAAAAATGTAATCAATGTTTAGTGATTTGAAATAACATTCCATTTGTTAATATTTTTATACTTATTTTTATACTTAATTATATTTTTAAAAATTTTATACAAACTATTAAATATATACTGATTTAAAAATGCAAGTAAATTACACTTAAACCGTGCCTTCGTTTCATACATGTTTGTATTACTACAGTATTTGTTATGAAATTATATTTTATTCAATATTTATATACAAAATTACATTCTTTGTTTATTTTAATTAACTTTCAATAAAAAATATTCATAAATTATAATTAAGTAATTGTAATATTTTTAATGACAAATTAAAAGCAAATATGTTTTACATTTACATTGAATTGAATTGAAAACATAAATGGATTGCAATATAAGTGACAATAAGTGACATCTATTGACCACTTGTTATGTATGGCTATATAGACGTAGTGTTAGTCCCAATCGATATCAATATTATATAGTATTCATAGAAATAGTGTTATTATAAAAAGCACTAAAACTTCGATACGTTTTGAATGCCTTTTCGGCGCAAATATTATGTAATTTTGCTTTTGTTTACATTTTATGACAAAAATACAATTCATTCATACAATCACTTCATTTGATCCCAAGATATGGACCGACGGAGAAGAAGAGGAGTGAATCAAAATGGCGTCGAAGACTATAGACAACTGGTATTTAGCAAACAATTGACTCTTTAATAAATTTTCATTGTTTTTGTCCCACATTTTACGCGAAGAACTCAATGGACAGATTCGGTGATGACTTGTGTGCACTTATATTATCCCATCTCTCACTCGAAGATATGTTTTCCATTGAGTGTGTGTCCAAACAGTTCCAGAGGACAGTCTTCGTGGGTATTGTGACCATTGATATGACTGAACAACTCTTCGGAGGAAGAAGGATATCAATTACAGAAATAGTGTCAAAAATAGCCAAAAAGTGTCCAAACATTGAGACCATTGACTGCCGAGGAATAGGCAATGGATGTGAAAAACATATACCGAAAGTGTTGAACACATTTCTACACAATTGTCGTGATTTGCGGCAAATATACTGCAATTTGTGGCCAAAGAGTAGTCAATGGATCCGTACGTACGGACCTCTCATCACACGAATCGATATCTTCGCGACAGAGAAACGATCGCTCATTCATTGCCACCGATTGTCTCATTTGTCGGTCAATCGTTTGGGCGATGTTTTCAAGAGATCCGCACTTCTATTGGCGAAGAATTTGCGTTCATTTGAGTTATTATACTATTGTAGCGGAGATTACGACCGATTGTCTGCATTCGCGGCCGAGAATCAGTCCCTACATTACTTCACAACTACTTTACAAACTTCATGCAATTTAAATAATAATATATTGATTACTATTTGTATTAAGCATTTCTCATAACATTTAATAACAATAATATTACGGCAAGTATTTTATAAAACAAATAACATGTTATGTAACCAAACGTAACATTGCATCAGAAAATGTGAAATAATCTGAAGCAAAGGGTACTGAAAAATATATGAATGAATTGTATTTCTTATGATAGCTATTAAAGAAACCAATTGTAGTAATAATTTATAAACAAAAAATATAGCAATTAATAAATTGCTTTCAATTTAATGTAAATTAATGTTTATTTATTTTTAAAGAAATTAATCGACACTTTTATTTTAAAAATTACACCGCATTTATAAATATGAATATTTATTTTTAAAAACAATTTGCTATTTAAATAATTGTCAGAAATTTATATTTTATTTATTAAAAATCGTCACTTAATTGAATTGCATTAAAATCACTAAACATTTCCTTTAATTTTACTTTGAATAAAACTTGTTGTCATTGTTTCCGTGGATTTCAATGTTCTTGAGTTTAGGACTTCTAGACAACAGATCCGAGAAGTCATTGTCCGAGAGATTAATGTTTGGCTTGACTTTCATGACAAGCGTTTGCAGCGCCGGTAGTCTTGAGATGTGTGACAAACACTCGCTGTCTATCTGTCTACTGATGTCATCAATAGAAAGATATTGAAGTCGTGAACAATTTTTATGACAATTTTCCAACAATTTTGATGTAATTCCCGTCACATCGAGTGTTAGATGTGATAATCGGTGGCAAAGTTCTAACGGATCCAACAAATTATTGTCGCAAGAATATAGCTTTACATACAATCGTTTTAGTCGGCAATAACTTCTTAATGGTTCCAATGGCGGGACACTGGATCTGCCCATTAATAATTCAAGTGACAATCGCTTCAATTGTTTGCAATTCACGCCAATTGTGCGCAAAGAGTCGGCCAAAGAGTTTTGGTGTTTAACAAATCTAAAATTTATTTTCAATTCTCGTAATTGTGTTAATTGTGACAATTGGTCCGCAACTTCGGCGTGACTGTTGTTGTTATCGCTTAATGTTATGCAAAACACATCAACACTTTTGAGGCATTGATTGGCGGCCAATACCCGCGACAACAGACGCTTATCGGCGCCAAAATTGTATCTAAACTTAAATGAGTGCAAATTTTTCACCAATAGTTGACTACAACAACAGTTGCAACCGTTGCTGAACACAGTTCGCAGTCTTTCGATCTCCAGATGAGACAATCGGTGACAATGGCTAAGTGCGTAACCATAAGAAACGCCGTCGATTCGGGTGACCAGTGGTGCCAACTCTTGGAACCAATTCTCAGGATTTGCCCACAATTTGCAGTAAATTTGCCGCAAATGCGGAAAATTGTGCCGAAAATTGTGCAAAAGTTGAAAACCATGCAAACAATCATTTGTCGTACTTTCCCGACAATCGATTACTCGTATGTTTGGACACTTCATACCAATTGTGGTCAATATTTTTCTGTTAAAAGCTATTACAGCTAATCGTCGGCTAAAATTAAAGTCCACAATACTTTCAAAGACTGTCCTCTGGAACTGTTTTGACACACTTTCGTAACGGAATCGGTCTTCAAATGAGAGATAAAACAACACAAGTTGACACAAATCATCACCGAATCTGTCCATTGAGTTCTTCGCATACATTTGTGTCTAAAATGTGAGACAAAACTAATAAAAACTCAATGAAAAGTCAATTGAGTGTCAAATACCTGTCGTCTCTCATGGTCTTTGAGGTCATCTCTGGTAACAACAGATCTCATCGTTGGTGTCATCAGTTGCGTCATAACGTGTGAACAATTGAAGTGATGGTATGAATGGATAAATATATTTAAAATATTTTTATTATGAATTATAATTAAGTCCTAATTATAGCTACAATTATAAGTTAAATGATAATAAGTTTTGGTATGAATTTTAAAAACCAATTATTGGATGACTTTATATATGTGTAGAAATTGGGAGAAAACTTTAAAAACAATAAGAATTACTGAAACAAACAGATTAAAGGATTATATCCAGGGTCACATTTATGATCATGATCAAAACTGGGACCAATTTGGAAACAAGTTGGCACTACTTTGCGAGAACTTGAGCTTTAAATGCCTCATTTAATAAATGTCTCAATCATATGCTTAATCCAAAAGCCTATCTAATCTGAACGCAAAAATATTGGGCTAGAAGTTAATCCCTAACCGTAAGTATTCTCATAAAACAAATGTTAAATAATTTTTAAAAATATATAAATCTTTTATAAAAAACAATTTTATATAAAAATAAAATGAAATATTGTTAACAAATACAAAAGTTGTAAATACATGTATAGTTTAAATATAATTAAATAAATTGAATTGTATTTATAAATATCTAAACATTTGTTGCATTTTTACTTTGAATAAAACTTCTTCTCATTGTTTACACGGATTTCAATTGTCTTAAGTTTAGGACTCGAAGACAACAAATCCTCGAAGTCATTATCTCTGAGAGATTCACTTAAACCTACGATTACAAGCATTTGAAGCGCTGGTAGTCTTGAGATGTGATCCAAACACCTGATGCCTATTGTCTTATATCTGTAATGAATGCATAGGTATTGAAGTCGTGGCCAATGTTTGTCACAATTAAACAATAACTTGGATGTAATTTCATATGAATAAAGTGTTAAATGTGTTAATCGGTGGCAGAGTTTCAACGGTTCCAACAGATCCTGATTGACAGACGGATATATAAATAAATCCAAACATTTTATTTGCGGTAAACATCGCAACAAATCCAATGTCTGGACAATAGATGTCTTACTGTCCACACCTCGTGAGCGCAACTCAAGTGACAATCGTTTCAATTGTTTGCAATTTAACTCAATTGCGAGCAAAGAGTCAGACAATGAGTGCTGATTAGGTCTGACATCCAAACTGAGTGTCAATCGCCGTAATTGTGGTAATCGTGACAATTGGTCCGCAAACGCAACGACAGTCTCATAACTATCACCTCTTAATGAGAGACTTCTTAGGGACTGATTCTCGGCCGCGAATGCAG